ATTTGTAACAGAACCAATTTTTAAGCCGTATTATAAATAAATACTAAGATCTTATTGAAACACCCCAGAAAAAAGTCAACATTTTTTTTATGTAATTCTTTTTTTTTTTTTCGTAAAATTGACGATTTGAACTTGTTTATCTACCAAAAATAATAATTTTTATATCGTTAGTGCTTATTTTTGTGTTTTTTAATGATTTCTTTTTTATCATAATTAACAAAGAAAATTATTCACCAAATTAAAAATATACTCTAAAAATTTGTTTCTTATTATCATAGCATTTTTATACCTTGAACAAAGCTATTTTTTAAGGGTAGTCCCGCATTGGTGAAAACACTTAAAATCGATACTTAAGTTGTAATTAAATACGAATTTGTTTACTAGCTATGACGTTTAGGTGTGGTTAGAGAAATTTCAGGTAAGCTATTACACAAATTCCCTTAACAGTAATTACGTTATCATAAATCAGTTTAAGTTAATTTTATTGACCACAACACTTTAGCATTACCTACAAACTAATTTCAAGTGCATTGTAAACTACTATTATTGAATCTTGAGGAATAGAAACGGAAACCTCTAAAACTGTGACGATCTTAAATCGGTTTATAATTTTAGTTATATAAAACCAATTAAGTTCTCAAACACTATTCGATTTCAGTGTTTCGAGCAAAGTGGAATATTATGCACCGGAATTAGAGAATATTGTCTTTCTGCCATTGTAAGCTATAAGAAAATAAATTTTGGTTTCCGTGTTGTGTTTTTCCTCTTTTAAGTCTCTTAAGTTTCAGGCTTTAATTGTAAACGTATCAGCTATCTCCGTAAAGTTGTTTGAACCTGGGATAAAATAGTTTAGCGTAGCATATAAATCCTGCGTCGCTTTATGGTTGTAGCATTCTGTGTGATAGCCATAAGCCTGTTGAACATTTTAGGACGAGTCCTGGGATCTTATTAAACTTTCGCGTCTGTCAAAACGCGAAATAGCTCGATTTTTTCCCGCTTTGACAGGCCATAAATCCGCATTGTTACAATTTGCAAGACACTGTAATATCTGCCACAGGTGGCATATTGATTTTTATTACCATCTGGAATTTGAGGTGGCGAAAAGAGTGATGTTAAAAGAATACCATTTAGATCCGTTATCATGGCAAGATGAAGAGCATCAAATATATTTTGCTGATGTAAGAACTTATTTTTGTGCGGGTGCTGAATTCGATTTTCTTCGCCAAATTTATGCTATTCGCGTTTTTCACGGGGATTACTGGTTTGTAAAGCCGCACTCTGGAAGTAGTAGAAAATTTAAAGTTTCTACAAAATTTTACGGGATCAGCCCCTGCCACTTGTCTGTCAAAAAATGGAATACGTTTTCCGCATACAAAAAACTTTTAAAATATATCATTTATTAGGTAACTTAAAACTGGTCAAAAAATGCAACGCAGTCGCGGTATTACACAATTATGAGGATTTAATGTAGCCGATCTTGCTCGATTTACTTACAAGGCAAAACCTTCTAAGAGCATTAAAGGTGGAAGTAAGCTTTTTAACCCTTTATTTGAACATCTATCTCTCTTAATCTAGTACTTTGTTAGTGATATTGACTTAAATTAAATTCGCCGTATCCGTGAGGATCTAGGTTTGTTATTGAGAGAACCTTATAACGTAAAATTTCTGCCGAACCACCTATAACTTTGCGGATTTTCTTGCGGTTTATGACTCTGCCTACATAAAATTTTTCGATGCCATCGTAAATAAAAATTAAAAAAAACGATTTTTACCATTTTGCAGAGAAGTTTTAACAATTTTTTTATTTTCTGAAAAATGTTTGGTTAAACACATTGTTTTTTTTTTCCAGAAAACATTGGTAAATCTTTTAAAGAGCTTAATTATTATTTGATACATAATAATCCGTTTTTATTGTCACAATTTAAACAGTAAATAGAATAATAAATTTCCAATAAGAAGTTAAATCATTTTTAAGACAAAAGCTTCGTATGAACATATATCGAAAAATGCTACGCAAGGAAGCTACACCTCCTCGAAGGGATGCCTAAACAAATTCAAAGCTGAAATGTTGAAATTTTTAAACAGGGGCTTTCTAAAGTGGGTAGGTTTAGGGTAAAAAGTACTTTAACTATTTTGGCTGTAGTTTTTCATAAAAAAGGTCTTTTGCGTTTTACCGATACAACTTACCGATTTTGAGTAAAATCAGTTTTAAAATTTACCTTACAGACCATAAACAGCATACAAATTTAAAATTAAATTTGTTTTACTGTTTAGGACGCCCCTGATTATAAATTTCAACATTTTATCTTGGAATTCGTTTAAGTGTTAAAGGTTATCAGCTGTATCAAATTTTGTAATTTTATCTATTCTAAAATATTGGGAAAAACCTTTTTAAAAAAACGCACTCCTTTTAGTATTTTTACAAAGCATTTTTCGAAACTTGTTTAAAGGAACTTTTTGTCTTAAAACTGAATACTCTGTCATCTGTTTAAATTTGTAACAATAAAGAAGAAACACTGTATATTTAGAAGAAGCACACAAAACTATGTTAGAAATATCTGAGGTTGACATGTTACTAAAAGTTACGATTGTACTATAGTGCAGTTTTTATTTGAAAGAAAACTGATTATAATAACAATCATCATTAAAATGTAATTAGGTTCAACAAAATTGGTGGATGCGCCGGAAGAAAGTTTTTAAACGAATGTTTTGATGTTTTAAGCTTTTTTAGTTTAGTTTTGAGTTTGACAATGGCGATAATGACAATTGATAGTCGTTCTTATTTTCGATAAGCCTGGAACACCGTTAAAGTATTGATAAGAACGTCGCGATAAATTTGCCTTTTTATCGTAACTTTTAACCGGATATTGAAAATGTGCAAAGTCATTCGAATTCACCATGCATCGCCCCATCGTACGCAAAAATCGCTGTAATGGAAAAATTCATAGATATTCTAACTCGGTGCGCAGGCCGGTAAATCAAGCAAATGTGCAGACAGAAATTACGAGTCATCGATTGACGCATAAAACTACAACTAAAAAGCGCGTAATTGTAGTTGCGTCTTTATGATCTATCCGAGCAAATTATCCTGCGACCAAGCAGTGACCCCTCAGTAGATTAGAAGCCGAGAAAATAGCTGTCGACTTTTTCAACTCGCACCCCAACACGCCGTTTGAATATTAAACACAATCTTAAGAGTTGCTCTCGACTACTGCCATACATCATCACTTTATCGTACTTTAGTGTTTGTAATACTTGTCTAAATGATCTTTCGACTCGAAAAGGTTTCTGAAAGTTTGATAATCAGTTTTGAAAAACTTACCATTTTTATTTTTGTATTTTGATTCGAAATTCGACTCAAAGTGAACAGTTTTCATCCAGTTGAGGATTCTGTTTCAAGCCTTACTTTATACAAAACTTTCTTTCGGATATATTTACATATAGAAGGTATTGGAAATTTGCATCCCATAGGTAGAAAAGGTGCATTTATTATCATAAAGATTCTAATGTCCAGACTCACGAAAGGCTCGATAAAATTCAAATCGATAAATCTCAAACTAGACTTTAGCTAAATGAAAGAACGATCTGTTAAACTTCATTATCAACTAATTAAAAGATAGCTAATCTTTGTTTAAATCAAGGTTTAAATAGCACAAGAGCTAGTTGATTCAACGTTTGGGAAACAATTTTCTATTTAATTAGCTTATTTTTTTCAAATCGAATAATAAAAAATGTGTTTAGTGGAAAATGTAATGTTATTTCTAGAATAACGAATAAATTATTAATTGAGTTTAATTTTGTTGGTTAAATATTTTATCACCTGTCAAGTGTTTACGTGTACTTTTTAACAACACATGATATTTCACATCTTTTTATAATTACACTCTGAAAAAATAACCCATTTTTTCGAAGATTTTTGACAAATCAATAACACGGCTTTCATTCAATTTATAAAGAGACTTTATTACCTCTATTGAATGAAATGGATATTGCCTTTAGTTATTGGGGATCTGTATGAACCCCTTGCAACTGATTTAACAGGTAACAGCACCAAAACAGTTCAAGGAAATTTGATTTATTGTGAAATATTACTGAAGAGTGTGTGGACAAAAGATTTATATAGACGCCGAAACAATAAAATTATATAAATCTTTATTTAAAAAATACTATTACCTTATTAAATTATTATGTACTTCTCTTTGCGATGTAATTATGGTGAATGCGCCAGGAAAATGTGTAACGACTATTGGCTAAATAAAAAATAATTTAATTAGGTAATTAGTATTAATTAATTAAATTTTACGTCAGTAATGTAAGTACCATGTAACAGTAATTAATACAATATTAATTAGAAGTAATCATTAAATTATTTATTTTTTTATCAATAATTTTATTCTATTTTATGTAAATATAGAATTGTGCATTACACTAAAAGCATGTTTTTTGTAAATAAAATTTAATACAAATATTACTAAAAGTGTTTTAAACACAACAAATGGGAAATTGTTTAAACACAAAACGTGACAATCCTATTTATTTTTCCCAACCAAAAACCGCTTAAATTTTTCCAGTTATTTAAAACCAAACATTTCCGCTATAAATAATAGTTAAACTTCTGTTTGATTTTTAATTTGTAAATCAAATTAGTGTTGATTATAATTAACACCACTTTAAGAACACCATCATATTAGGATACTTAAATCGTTTTGAAACCACTTGAATCAATTAAGAAATGGTCCAAAGGAATTCTTTTTTTTTACGACGCATTCTGATTTATTTGTCTGCCCGTATCAGATTGGTTTTTTATTCGCATGTAAAGTTCGCAAAAAGTTGTGCGAAATAATAAAGTTTGGTCAGAAGCAGTTGATGTCAGTGTTAAGCTGGAGATCCGTAGTGCTAATACACAAAAGATCACTCGGTACAAATAAATCGTCGCAAGATACACGAGCACCGAAAGAGATAACGAACTGCGATAAAGTTGAAAACAGGGTGTTACTTACCAGCAATGCGCAACTTGCAGGAACTGGCAGGATCCTCTGCAGGGCGTAACTAGAAACATACGGAATAATTACGAGATCTTATCGGATGATTAGTATTCGAGATGGCGCCTGCACGTTTCCATACATTACACGGAAAATCAGGTGGTGTCAGGACCTCACCGCAGGAGAGGCGCAGCACGACTGCCTGCGAAGGATTCGCGCTATCGACTGCTACCCTCAAACCCCCAAATGGCCGCGCTCGCCACGCTGCTGTGGCGGAAGTGAGAACTGCACCAGCTCACCCTCTTTATGGGTCATCACCGAAGGAGCGACTCGAGGGTTATGATGCATTGCTTCGGACGATGTTCTAACGCGATGTGCTTATGGACAAACGTTATCTAATTATCAGACGAGCTTTTAAGGATTCTAAGCGTCTAACAAGCTTGAAACCGAGAATCGCACTGTAAGCTCAAAAATTAAATACACATGATTTTTTTTTAAAACACAACAGAAAAAGTTTTTGAACATTTAACTCACAATGCCTTAATCAAATTTCAAAGTTAATACACATCGGCAAATTGGAAAAACTGGATTAATGATAATTTAATCTTGGAAAAAATTTCAATAATTTTTTTTTATGTTTTTAAACACAAATTTCAGTGGCGACTCAGTGTACAGGGTGCTGCATTTTGGATGTCCGAATAGGGAATCTCCGAAACTAAGAGGTTTAGCCAAAAACGAATGATACATTCAGGGGCTCATTTTTTGAGAAAATAATATTGGTTAAAACCACATCCCGCTATCGTCTTTTGTTTTCGACTTACAGACAAAAGTTGACATTTTGGCGAAATCTAAAAAAAAATATATCTTTGTTATTACAGAAGATACGGATTTGAAATAAAGACATTATACAGGCACTTTTTTACGAGGAATTTAATAATGTAGTTAACAATTTTTTTCAGTTATTAGTTTAACCGTAATAAGATAAACTTGTATTTTTTTAAATGGAAATTATAGGCGGCTATGGCAATTTTGAAAAGCTTATTTTTTTCTGAACTAAAAAATATATATTTGTAACAAAATATTTTTTTATAACTATACTTAAAAAGTGAAATACATATTTTGTGTGATAATAGTTGTCCATGGAAAAACTATTTCACTCCAAATGTGTAAATAATAACCAATAAGACTTTTGTGAACTGTAAAATAGATGAAAAAATAGATACAACTTTAAAGATTTGAAAAATACGATACGCTAGAAGCATTGAACAAATATCCAAGCGCCTCAAAACCAAATTATTACATATTTTTAAAAAATCCAAAAATAGGAAAAACAAATGTCAACAGTCAACACAATTACAAAAAACTTTTTTTTGATGATCTAATGGAGGTAGGATAACTTTTCACATAGACGGAATTTGGGTATTTGAATAGACATATCCTCATTTTTGGGTCATATGAAATATATTTTATTGATGAATTAAAGCGGCTTTTTTTTTTAACACTATGTATCACTAGAAGTTGCAATGGTAATGTTAGCTTGTTTTAAAACAAAGAAATGTTATTAGTCGCCAATAAGTTGATTTACAATTTATTTTGCATCTTTTTCATTACTTAGTACTTAGAACACTCTTTCATTAGTGACACTGGTTGAATATAATATAGTTTAAATCCTTTTAGTTGAAGATGCAACATTTTTTCATGGCCAACTGCGAACAAAAGTCAAAGATTTTTTGCTAAAAATGTATTATAATAATTTGTTACGAATATATATTTTTAGATAAGAAAAAAACAAGCTTTTTAAAAATGACATAGCCATCTATGATTCCCATTTTAAAAAATACCAGTTTATTTTATTACGGCTAAACAAACAACTGAAAAAAATTGTTAACTACATTATTAAATTCTACGTAAAAAAGTGCCTGTATAATGTCTTTATAATAACGAAGATATGAATTATTTTAGATTTCGCTAAAATGTCAATTTTTGTCTATAAATCGAAAACAAAAGACGATAGCGGAATGCGGTTTTAACCAATATTATTTTCTCAAAAGCTCGAGAATGAATTACTCGTTTTTGGCTAAACCTCTTAGTTTCGGAGATTACCTATTCGGACATCCAAAATGCAGCACCCTGTACACTAACAATAATAGTACGAATACTTTACACAATTGTTGCTCACATGCACTGTATTCTAAGACCTTGTATAGATTTTTTATCAATTTGGTTGGTACTAATTATAAAATAAACTTTTAAAGAAAGTTAACCTTTTCGATGACGACACTAAAAGTTTTGCCTCTTAAATTGGTTACTTTTCAGACTAACACATTTTAATTAATTTTTTACTTTTTGAAAATTCTACATTTTAATTTCAAATTGATGATTAATTTATTTATTAATTACATGCAGGTTTGATTTATTTACTATATGATTTCCAAACAAAATGTAATAGTTAAAATTTAATACGAATATAAACTGCAACATAATTTAAACATTATACACAATCATTTTATAAAATATTACCAGTGTATGAATCAAGCTTGACACTACTATTTCAAGAACAGTTCAATTTCTAATATAAATTCCTTTCAGAATAGTTTATTAGAAACATTAGCTTTGTGGTGTGTAAATACCACTTTGTCTAAAACAGCAGCTACGATTACTAGTTTGCAAAGCTTTGTGATGTGACTCTTTGGAATTTCACAGCGTAGATGCTTTTTTTACAAATGGGTGTTTGTATTGGCGATATGTTACAAAGAAAAAAAAGTAAAAAAATTGTTGAAATTAAAACCGTCTTTGTTGCACACTTAAATAATTTTAAAACGAAATACATACTCTTAACAATATAAAATTAAAAACCATTTTATTTAAAAAAATATAGCCAGTGATGTAAAGAATTTTATTAGAAAGAGAAATTTAATAAAACAAAACTTGAGGTTTGTATTAACCAAAAACGTTTCATTGTAATTACCTGCAGCTAGAAAGAACAAAGAATAAGATACGAATTGCTGATTGTTCGATAACACTGCTTTGGAGAGTATTAAGAGTTAGTTGCTAATTAGTTTTTCTGGTTTCTAATTACAGCAAAATATTGATTGTTAGTTCAAATTCTATAATTTTTATGCTTTAATAGCATTTAATTCATTATTCTGGTTTTTATTAAAGCAATATCAAAATACTATTCAGCTTTATTGTTTTATTATATTCGTATTTTTGGTTAACGTTTCTATTTTTTATTTTCGATTATAATTTGTATTCAAAATGAATATGTGTTTATTTTTATGATTTATTTCTATAAATTAACATAAAACTTACTTAAAACTTTTAAAAAATAAAGTGTTTAGATTTTATTTGCTTGTTGTACAAATTGAAGCTCATTTTAAAAATTCATCCAATCGGCAACAAATGCGCCACCGTCATTAGCATTATCTATTAATATCTCCACATTAACATGCAATATATCGTGCTGACAATATTATTAAACGTTGTAACGACCGCGATGTTATTAATGCAGAATTTCGTTCGGAAACGACAATTGAGCAGATAGTCATATCGGAAACACGCAAATAAAATAAATTTTAAACGATCTAAAGAACAAAAAAAGTTTTTCCAGTTTTGATTTATCTTCAGCGTGACAGTAACCGTCTGTTACACGGAAAGGACGATGTTTCGACTGTAAGTTATCTTGTTGATAGATTCGCGCAGACTCGTTTTCCCTCAAACGATCCGACACACCCGAACTACACGTGCTGCTTGTATTGGCGTGTAATCATGCATACTGCCGTTCCCGAATTTATTCTGCATAAAAAGGGCAGGCCGCAATTCGGTTGCGATAAAACAATCAATTGCTTTCGTTAACCCACAAATAATTCTGCTGCGAAAAACTACCACAAAATCGGTTAAAATTGATTTAATAAATAAGTTTAATGAGAGGAAGTTTGCCTCAGGATAACTTCCTACCTCCTGCAGTTAAATGTTCTCTATAATTAAATTTTACCATCAATTTGTTCAACTAATTGATTTTTATTGTCATGAAATAGCAAAATATTGTACATGTTAAATGAAAATTGAATTATAAATCAAGCATTTAAACAGAAATTAAATCAAATGAATGTTGTAGTTGACTAGTTGAGATACCAGTGGTGATTGTGTCATGCATTGAGCGGTTTATATGAACCAGATTGAGATTTCTTCTTGGCTAAATATGTAAATCGTCGTGATTTAGCAACATGTGATCTTAATCAGAAAAAATCGTGATAATGCTTCGTTTGAAATTTCCGCGACAGCTTGGTTTGAATTAAAAACGTGAGGTCGTGTAAATTTTAATAAGTTTCAATAAGTATTTTAATTTGCTCTTTAGAGAGAAGTTTTTAATGCTGTTTAAAAGTTTATATACGTTTCTCTTCGTTCACGAAAACCCAAATGTAAGGCTTATATTCTGTTGCTTTTAATGGACAGGAATTCGAACTAACCAGCCAGAGCGTAAAAACGCGATTAAATTTTGGTACGTTTTTCTGAAATTCGCACACAATTACTTATTATTATTACCACTCTATATACGGCAGTTCTGGAATGGAAACTTGACTTTTAATTAAACATAGTTTTTTTATTGGACAGACTTATTTCCAAACACTCGAAATTAATTGAAAAAATTAAAGAATGATTCCCAATTATGTCGTGGATGTCGCTGAGAGCTCGATCGATCTACTTGGAAATTTTATTGGCAGCTTGTAACTTTGAAAGTTTATCGCAAACAGAGTAGATTGCTTATCAAAAAGCCGAGGTATCTTTCACATAAGCCTTTCTTGATGATCATTTAAGCTTCTTCGAAATAATTTCGATATTACTAAACTTTAGTAGGATCACACTTTTTCAAGACAGATTATGCTAGAAACAAGCTGACAAAATTTAATTGAACTACTACCGATCTTAAAAATTTGCACTTACATAAACTCTAAAACATCGAAAACTCGACGCAACATGTGGCTTAATACAAAAAATTGAACAAATTTTGTCCTGGTTTGATTACTACCTACTTGCAAAATATTGAGACATTAATCTTCCATACGGATTTCAAAAACACATAATTATACAAGAACGTTTACACAGGTTACATGAACCACTTTTAACCTGAAAATTGACCTTAACAAAGGCGTACCTACTATTGCACACTTATTAGTTTAGCACTTATAAAAACGCGAAAAGTACCAAAATT